GAAAATATTAAAACAGTATTAGGGTTAAATTTAACCAAAAAACTCAAAAGAACAAGAAATGAAGAAAAAAACGAAAAATAACATACAACATTCAATAAAACACCCATAAAGTTGACACTAACACTATATAGAATACTCGTAAAATATTTTAAATAATTTTCGAAAAATAAAAAAATGAAAATATTTTTTTTTTTAATTTGTAATAAAAAATGATTCAAAACGAATAAAATTACAAACAGATCGACATACAAACATATGTACATTATGTAGATGTTTGTACGAAAAAGTTCAAATGGTCACCACTAGAGAGTCATGGAGATCTCCTTTAATTTTTAACAACTTTTTCTCTTGTTACCTTTATAACTCTTTTTTTTTATTTTCTGATTCTTAAAGTACGATGTACCCTGTATACAAACCATGTTCTTCTTGTTCTCTTGGTGTGATCAGATCTTATCAACAAATTTCTGTTGGGTTTTTCATTTTTTATTGTTTTATCTTTAATTTGTTTGCTTTTTATAATTTTTTATAATTTTTATTACCATAAAAAAATCGAGCATTAAATGTAAATTCATATATTATACGATGTTTTATATGTGAATATAAATAATGTACATTTATGTACATTCCAACATTGATAGCTTAAGAAACTAAAATTTTTAAATTAAAGCTTTAAAATTTTCTTCTAAGGTGTTCCAAAATATGAATTGAAATTTAAACGATGCGTAAATTATAATTAAAAATATCCTTTTTAATAATTTATTTTTCCAAAAACGCTTCCAATTACAGTTAAATTTCAATTATTAGCCAATAGTGTTGAGGAGAAATTTTTTTCGGAATTAAACAATCACAAATTAAAATGATCGATTTGAAGCTATAAATAATTTTACTGAAGATTTGCATATCATTTATTAGTTCCTAGTCCTGAGATTAATTGCCCATATCGAAACAAATCTTAAGAGAACATTTTTACTCTTTCATGCGAAAAAAATATTATAGTTGTGTTTAAGTATAGTAATAATTATGTTGGTCCAAATTTTTCCAAATAGATTCTTGTTTTAAAATTGGTTCAAAAAATTAGCTTTATCTGTTAAAAATACACTTTAAGAAAATCAAAATTATGCCAATCAATATAAGTCGAATAAAAGTTATCCCTTACTATTTGTTACGTAAGTACATATGCACTTGATACAAGGTATCGCTGTTTCGGTATAACCATCGGAATTCAGATAAAAAGTTATTATACTCAATAAATCAATTACCAATTGAATAGTTTATTTAATATTCCGTCACAAATCACAATTCCGATTATTTCAATGTATTTTATTATTTAAATATGTATTCAATTACCGATATTTCAATGTACATAAAGCAACGTAGACACAATATTTGATTATAAATTAAAAATTGTAGACTATAATATGAGGTGGCAAGGCAAAAAGAAAAATTTCTGTCCTCCCTCTAACAAGATTCTAGTAACTAAACCACTCGCGTAAAATTTTGTCTCTTGATAAACTCAAATTTAGAAAAACTAATTCCTAGCAGACGGTCTTTCCTAAGAACCTTTATATTTGCCCAAAAAATTTATGTTCTACAATGAATCAAGATTGCTGCCTGAAAAATTATAATTGATTTTCGAAATTATCCTGAATGCCGTGTAAAAATCTTTTTCTGACATTTTTCTAGTAACAATTATTTTTATCAAATGATTGAAATTATTTAAAAGGATATTCCGTTAGGATGTAGAATCGAATATCTTTATAGGATTTTCTATTTCCTTTACACTACTTTTGAATAAGAATTAATTAATAATTTTTTTCCAATTAGAAACCTTTAATCGGTTTCGTAATCGAAAATATTAAAACTCTACCACAATCATATAAATTAAATTCTTTATATCGCAGATTAAATCCTTTATTTCATTTTATAATCATTACGTCAATTTTATAGGTTCTTGTAATATAACAGGTTCACCCGCATTAAAAAAATTCAGAATTGATCAAGATTAAAAATATCCCGTTGTTTTCATAGTATGTGCGCCTGTTTTTCTCTAATTGTAAACAATTGTTTTCCTCTTTATAGAATGCGCTTTTCTTTTAAAACAATAATTTTAAATAGCTAGTTAAAAAGTCCTTTATTGTATTTCTATTCTATATAAAAACATATAACTATATGCCTCTTATTCCAAAACAAAAACACTTTGTTTGTTTATAAAGAAACCTGGTGGTGGTAAAATGACTAAAATCACATTTTATTTTCCAAAGACATTCAAAATTACGCACACCTTTCTAGTATTTTTTTTTTTTAATTTTCTTCCTTATTCAATTAATAATATTAAAGTTAACATGGCACTTATACTTTCTATTATACAATGTGTGGTTTCATATTATTTTGTACAATAAAATTCATGTATCCTGCATAAGTTTACAAATCATATACCAAGTATATACGCTCATATGACATACACTTGTATATATGTATGTATGTAGTATGTACATATATCCTCATATATATTTTTTTATTAATCGATGTCAATTTATAGATTTTTTTTTCTATTTTTATTTTATTGTAAAACGTTATTATAAAGTTCTTGTATTTTGATTATTTTTACAAGATAACGTGATTGGATCAATTGCCACTACGCACCTTTTTTAGTCTACTTATTTATGGGTCTTTTATTTTATTCAATTTATATTTACATACATACGAGCATATACAAAATAATTGGCGTTTATGTTAAAAATATGTTGAAAAAAAAAATGTTGGAGGGTTTCTATTCAATAGAATTTATAAGGGATAAATTGTAAATATGTGAGTAGATGTGAGTATATTTTTGTAGACATATGCGGTACAGTAAAACATGTTGTTTTTCTCTTTTCTTATTTTCTACAACTTGTAACTGTTTGGTTTTTAAAAAAATAAATGTAAAAGTCGTGAAATTTTTTCAGGTTTTATTTTTTATTTTATTTTTCCTTAATATTTTTTTTTAAAATACGGGTGATGTAACCATTTATATTCCTATTTTATGTGGACCATTTAAAACGTATAAAAGTTCCACTTATAAATTGTATAGTTTTAACAGGGATTCAAAATTTTTTATTTTGAAATTTTTATGAACAATTTATAAAACTTTGTGATGTTACTGATTTTTAACATTAACCCTTTTAGATCTACTAACCTATAATAGACTCTATTGGACCTTAACCTGGTTCAATAAGAATTTTGAATATATAACTGTTAAAATTTATTAATATACTCGTATATAACGTTGACTAGGCCCCGCAATTTTGAAGTAGAACAAATGTATTTTTTCTTAAATTGTACTGGCTTTTTGTTGGTAAAACTTTCAATGATGCTTATTATAGCATAACAAGGTAGCAGAAAGAGAAAAATTAACTATTTTGTGTGCACTAAAATGATCAGTTTTTTTTTATGGAAATTTTACATTTAACATTATTATAAGATGAAAAAAATCAAACGACACTAAAAACTGGCAAGGAATAATAAAATTAAAGCCGTAAACGCTGTTTTAATCAAGGTGGCTTCCTCAAGGACCTGAAAGAGTTAAACCAAAAACTAAAAGCCATTTACTTTCAAAATCATGCGGGGTTGCTTTAGGCAAAGTATTCTGCTTTTACTTCATAAACAAATTCAAGAATTCTGTAACCGCCTCCCTTAAATAAATTTAAAAAAAATTTATATGCATTTTGCAATTTGAAAAACACTGCTTTATAAAATGTAACTATCATAGTATAAAATTTCAATAAAAGTAAAGTACAAATATATTATATAGGTTTCTTAATCAAGCGAATTTTAAACAGATTTAATAGGGATAATCTCTGATTCTTAGTATATACACTGGATCGGATTATTGTACCCTATTTTATGAAGTTGACCAATTCAAAAATGGTTTCTTAAACGACAAAATAAAATCTAAATTTTAATTGCCTGTTTTCCATTAAAAAATGTTTGTCACATTAGTAAAATCAAAAATTTAACCAATATATTCCATGGGGGGTTTTGATCTTTAATGTGAACATTTATATGCTTTATGTGTTGTACCTAGTTATATGTTTGTTTTTCAAACAAAACTCTACGACAATTATTTAATAGACGTTGTGTGGAGTATTTTAAAATGAATACCAAACCCATAATATTTTTGGTGTTACATAATAATTTATTGATTATATTGTTTAAAAAACAAACTAATTTTAGGAAATTCTTGAAAAGTATTAATGAGAAGCAGCGAGTGAAAACAATTTGTTGAACAAAATGATTTTTCAATAGAAAATTTACATAATTGTGTTTTGTACACCATACGGTTTTGTTTTTATAATATTTACAACCCTGTTGACAACAATATTTTAAGAATATCAAAAAATCAACTTCTTTTCGAAATTAAATTAAAAAAATGAAATTTAGATTTAAAAAAAATACTCTTGGATTTGATGTTGACTCGATAATGGTAATAACAACATAAATGTTGAGTTGAATTAAATGGTATGTGGTAAATTTTAGGGTTAAAAAACAATTTGTCCAAACCGGAATTCAAAAATTCAAAGCGGAACCCTATTGCACCAGCCAGCAGAAAATTTCGCTCTTTGCAAACTTTTTTAATTAGCTGGTTAAAAAAATAAAAAGTAGGGTCCTGATTTATCAAAAATTCAAAGTTATTATTTTGGCAATTATGATTTTAATTTGAATAACCAACAGAAATTATTAAAAAGTTGTTAATTCTAAGAACTGAAACCTATTACTAGCACTACTTACTAAATGACCAATTGAATTGCAATTGTCTCAATATATTCAAACAACAACTGCTGCAGACCCCACGTTATTAAAACCTTTTTCTTGAAAATTTTGAATGCAATTTGTTATTGTAAACGAAATTCTCAGGTTCGAAACTAAATAATTGTCTTATATACTTTAAATTTCAATTTAAACTATGATAAAATTTTTGCCTTTAAAACTCATACTTATATTTATTTTTCTATAATTTTCAGGTTAAACGTCCCAAACTTGAACCAAGCGATTCAAATGAGCGAAAGTAAGTATAATTTCATTTTTTAAGCTAATTTTTGGTATGTTGCGTACCATGCCTTAAAAAAAATATTGACTTTTAAATTTATATAGGAGTTCAAATTTAAGTACTGAAAAACTAGTTTTATAAAATTTGTTGTATTAAAGACATTCATGAAAAATTTATAGCCAGTAACCATAACTCTACTAAAATAATTTTGAAATTAAAAATGTTGTGAATTTTAGTAAGAATCTATTTTACATTCACCTGCATTGCAAATTTTTGTGATTGAGAACAGTATCTTTATATGGCATCATATACCAGATTTTAAAGCGCAAGCTCTTTGATATATGAAAACTATTGTTTTTTACCTTATGAACCAGGATCTTATTTTGTAGCCCTGCTTAAATCTACACTAAAACAATTTAGAACGAATCTTAAAGTTCACCTCTACTAATTTCACCCCGTAATTTTCTGTCCTAATTGTAATTATGATATTAAAATAAATTTAAATATTAGAGAAAAATTTATGAGATTTAACCAAAAATTTCGCAAATATCTTGTAACACTTTCGTATTAAAAATCGTTTTAGAAAACAAAAAAAAAAAATTTTTTTAAATTTCTGATTTTCTTTTCTAATCTTCACAATTCAAATTATTGAAAAAGTCAAAAAAAAAAACAAACCACTTTAAATTCTAAAAATAGTTGCAACCAAATTGTTGCATGTGCACAACAAACTTCCATCTCAATCTAAAATAAAAATTTTTAAATCTTAAAAGATGAATTAATTTTGGCTCGGACCATCACACTTAAAAAATTCATAATTGTTTTTTTAATACTTCAAACTGCAACTTAAAAAATGTCAAAAAAAAAATAAAATTTTAAAATTCCTTTTTAAGACATAGGAGGGTCGTAACAACATTTAAGAAAGAAATGAATTAGAACACATGTTTTACGATCTTAGAATATTCAACTTGGCCATAATGTTCCATCTATTTATTGTGTCTGAACCATTATATTTTTATTTTTTAATGTATATGCTCACTTAAAAATGAAAAAAGTAAAAAAAAACATCCTTTTGGAAAAAAAAAAAACTAGAAAATTTAAACCAAATTTCAAATATTTACCATCTTAACACATTTTAAGCATTTTAATTTAGTTCTCATATTAAGAATTATGGCAGTTCATAAATGTTTTCGCATAAAATAATCTCTGATGTGGTCGGCATATAACCGATCACTTTAGCGAAATTGTTGTACAAAATCGTGAATTATTTTACATTATTGTTGACTCACTTGTTGACAAGAAACTTTGAAATTTTCCTATTTTTTTAATTCGACCTGTAAACTACTGTTTTTGGTAGTAGTAATACTCTAAAAGTCAGTCAATTCATCTATAATTCTAATACTAATCAGTTCAGCGTCTAGTCGAAACTGACATACAGAATTTTACAAAAATACCGAACAACATCTTTCTAAAAATACTTTTTTTTTATAGTTCAGAAAGAAGTGTAAAACCTCGATGTATAACACTTTATGCTAAAACAATACCTAACTTACTGTAAATATTTAATGAAGTTTGTAAAAATACTGCATATCGTAAAAAATAGAATCATATTGTAGATTATCAGAATGGTTTTGATTGTTACATAATTTTCTTTTTTTGCTTGTACTTATATAACACATATACAGATATACGGTACTCTTATTTTGCTTACAATAAATCTGTATTTACAATCTTACAATAAACAAAAGTAAATCTGTATTTGAAGCCGTAATATCGCACATTTATTTCGATAAAGATGTCTTTAATGAATAGCGGATGACGTAGCCAATGGAACGAAATTTCATGGCTGAAAAATTAAAAATATTTTGCTCCACAAAATAAATCTAAATCAGGAGCCTAGCGTTATAAAGATTATATAAACTATGAGGTACATTTAAAGTCATATACATATGTACATATATAGGTACATATGGGTACATATGAGTGATTATTATATAATTTCGGTTCTAAATAACTAAAACTTAAACTATTAAATATAGAAATTCGAACACATTTAATATAATTATAAATTGTCACAATTATAAATTGTCGATTTATCTGAGCCCAGTTAGCATTTTAAATAAAAAGGCATTCTGCATGACAGAAGAAAATATATACAGTCAAGAACCGATTTGTGCGTAGAAGTGAAGTTCACAATCATAATTTCAAATAAGTGTGCATAGTTTCAAATTCATACATTCTTATTCAATCATTCCCTTGAATCTCATGTTTAGATCGATATACGCTAATTTAGTTTTTGACTTATATAAAGTGCAAACTCTTTAAGTTCACGAAGCTCATTAGGGCCTCTAACGAGTTGCTAACACTCAAATGTTTTTAACTGCAATTTAATTGACAAAATTACTACCTGCATATGTACAAGTACTTGTTGCACAATTTAAAGCAACTTAAAATATCGTGTTATTCGCAAAAATATAATGAAACAACAATAAATAATAATAAATTTTAATGATCCTTGAAAAATTAAATCCCATATTTACATAATCCACATTTCACAATAATTACAATAACAGAATTAAAGTAAACAATTTAGAGCTATTTAACCTTTATAACCCAGGGAAACCAAAAACAAAAATCAAATCCACAAATCAAACACTCCAAATTCTCCATTGGGTTGACTAATAAATGCAACCTTTTCTTATTATTTTCTCAAATTTATTTCTTAAGTCTCAATCTAATATTAAAGTCTCACTTAATTTAAAAAAGAGAGGGGAAAAAATTGACATACAATTAACGTGATTTATTAATTAGATTTTCATTTTTTACAAAACATATACCACATAAAAATACAAATAAATTATTTTACATATATATTTACTATATACACATGCATTTTAAATGAAGGAAAACGAAGTGAAAAACCCAAGAATTCATTCCAAAATTTTTTTCTTATTTGTCATATCTTCCAAATTTTTGTAAGAAAACACTGTAACAAGGTGCAACATTTTATGTTTTACAAGATTTTTATCATATTTTCTGAGATGAAGATCTGAGCATAGAAAAGTGGTATAGTGTATATACATAAAGAAAAAGTTACACATATATATATATACATATGTGGGGAGATTTATACGCTAAGATGCTTATAAACTGAGAGATTAACGTTAATTGTTATTTTATTCTACAATTTTTAACCTTAATAGAGAAATTAAAACTAAACGACCACATGTCAAAATTTCTATATTATTTATGATCCATAGAATGGCAATTAAGGTAAGCTGTCTAAGTCAAAAAATTGTAGTTTTACGAGAATTAAATTTTAATTAAATTTATATTAATTTTCTGTGAAATTCTGAAAATATCTAAGAGTTGAGTTGGTTGAGTTTAAGTTAATGTAAGCATTAAAATTTTTGTAAGCTTTTACTTTAAAAAAACTGACAAAATTATTTTTGAGAAAAGTTTTCTTAAAAATAATTTTAATAATAAAATCCTCATAATCTATAATTCTAATGCTAATCAGTTCATAAAATAATAAAGACCACCGCCTTTTCCCTTATTGTAACAATTCAGTTTGCGAATTCTAAAAATGTCTACTTTGAATATTAATAATTTCCTAAGAAATATTATAAATATAATTAATTTAATAACTCTATTATTAACTCTATAAATATAGTTAAATTAATAACTCTACAAGTTTCCATATTAATTACTAATAGCAAAACGCAAATTCATAGCATATATGTAGAGTAATTCTCCAAAATTCGACGAATTATCTGACACGAATTAAGTGTTCGAAAATCTTTGATTCATTTTACTACGCAGTTTTTTTTTCGTTTTCTACTTCTACTAGGAGGAGCATAGGGCTAGTGCATCATTACTGTAAATGACTATGAACCACTTTCTGACGTCATTGAGTTTACTAGGTAGGAGAGGAACCTAACTATGCAAAAATTTAATAAAATTATGCTAATCAATCACGTAACAATCATTCAATAAATTAATAAATATAATTTGAATTTTGAGAAAATCTCCAAAACTGTAATACATAGTTTTTTTTTTTATATACCCTTCTCTTTTATATGTATAATTTGAATTCATTATAAAATAATTATTGTTATTATTATATAGAGATCAAAATCTTCAAAATATAATAAGAAAATAAAGATTTAAGGTTAAAGTTTAATATTGTAGGAGATGAAATATTGCTACTAAATAAAATGTTATTCTTCGGAAAAGAAAAGAAGTGTCACATTCTTTTCGAATTGAATGTGTCAAATTATATGTTTTAAAAATCTCTACAATAACAAAAAATAAATGAATCTAAAGATATACAAAAAAAAGAAGAAAAGAAAAGACGAGCGTCCCTTTTCGAGATCTCAAAAAAAGAGGTATAAAATTTTATTCATAATCCATTAATCTATATAATTTGAACGGATAACTAGTAAGAAAAAGATACACTCACGCATAGTCTCAACAAATTCAATTTTTTATACTTACAAGTTCTCGAAAAACCATCAAAAGAAAATTCAATATACATAAATATTTTATTTTTCTTTTCAAAGTTCTTATTCATGAAAAATTAAACATCTGGCACTTTTTTTTTGGAAAATTAAAAAATATTAGAATATTTCTTGTAACAGCTATACAAAATTTTTAATGGGAAATTTCTTTTCAGGTTTCCTAAGCAATTTTTTAAAAATTAGAATTTTTTTCGAAGCAAAACAATTTTCTTATGGTGCTTTGACTGTCAAAAAATAAATAAATACGCAATTGTAAATTTGCAAAAAAAAAATATTTAAAAATTTTGCAAACCAATGCCCGATTTCATAGTATTAATGAAATCCTTATTTTTTATTGGCTTATAACCTGCAATCTGCATATGTTATTTTATTACTAACCAGCAAAGTAATACTCGTATAAGGGTTTGTGTATTAAATGTTTTATATTTTAAAAGTAATTTCAAATAATAATTTTGAATTAAAATTAGAATATTTTCGCCTCCTACTCTAAGGGTGAATTTA